CTTAGGCCCAATCCCCTGGGGAGCGGGCCTAAGCCAGCAGGTGGTCATCCCCCAAGGGGTCCCAGACTGCAAGAGGGCACAGGCCGGGCTGAGGGACCCCCTCCTGAGTGCACAAATTTTTGTGCACCGGACCTCTAGTAGATATAAAATAAAATCTGTATTTTTTTAAACATATCCTTAAATGCCAGAAAAGAAGCTACCCGCTTTGAAAATGTTTTCTATATAAACCTCTACCAGAAAAACAAAAGTCAGTATTAATTCAACAAATCAAACTTTAATTCATTATTTTGGTCAACTTGAGTTCCAAGATTTACTTATGACATAATGCTTTCCAGGAAGAAAAAAATATCCTGTCCCGGAAAACAATCTGATGGTTAATGTAAAGTTTTAACCAAATAATCATATTACTGTAATTCACTAGAAATTCAAGAAAAAGTGTGTAGGGTGCCCAAAATTTAGAAACATATTAAAATGAAGTTTTTTTTCTTCCTTTATAAGGAAAGAACTTCCATACCATCTGGTCTAAGTTATCTTGGTGTTCTGCCGAATGCAGTGTCAGCTTGCTGAGAACTGTAAATTATTAGGTTACACCCCTAAAAATATGAGTGAAGAGAAAAATGGATGAAGAGGACACTGACTATAAGTTTGGACACGCAGGAAAACACTAATATGGGACAACAGCCCAGCCCAAGTGCCTGTGGGTATGAAAGGGTTCCTGGAGGGCAGCCACTCCATATGACCATGACGAAAAGGACAGGTTTACGAGAGTAACACGCAAAGTAGTAACATGCAAAGCAATACCGAAGTGCATTTCCAGACTCCGAGACACCGCTTCATCAGAGTGCTTCCGATTCCAGTTAAATTTAGGGGGAAAACAACAAGGCAACCCGCCCGACTTAACGTACAGACCATTACAGCTGCTTCTAAATGCCTCCTAACAAACGGGGCCTACAAATGTGAGCACAGCCACGTATGCCACCTCAACTCTGTTCTCCTGTCTCCCAGATAATCCTGTGAATACAGTGCCCCCTCAGCCCCGGCAAAGGCACCCAACTGAGGAGCAGCTCCCAGAGCTCGAAAAGAAGTGCGGTTTCATCGAGAGGCATTTAGGCAACTTGCGTGATTCCCCGCAGAAAAGGTAAAGTGCCAGACACGAAACGACCGCTCCCTCTGTCGACGCAGCCACATGACTACTTTCTATCTGGAAACTCTGTCCAGCCAGCTGGTAAGATTTGTAAAGGAAGATCCTTACCCGGATTATTTCTTCCACACAGCTGTTGGTTTCTCCAGATCGACTCTCCTGGAAGCAAAGGGAAAAACACACAAATTAATAAGCCTGATAGACTAGATTTATGGTTACAAAGAAAAGATGACACGTTAGCTCCTACATTTAATAGAGTTTGGACTCGGGGAAATGCCTAAACTGGGACCTACCCATAAGCTCCTTTCCTTAGCAGGACAGCTCCCATCACAGCTATGGCTGCTCTCCCTTCCCCACTGTGCACTGCGCTGGACAGCTCCGCGGGGAACACCGCTCACGCACGGAGGCCAGGCTGGGCCCTCAGCCACAAGGACACCGAACGGCAGGCTCCTCGGAGTAACAGTACACAACCTGCAGGGCTGAGCTCTCTTTGCCTTGGGCTCATCCAAATGTAGAAACAGGGCATCTACTGCAAAGCGGATCCAGTTCACCTCCAAATACATACAGTGGCCCTACCAAATACAAGGTTGCCGCGGCTTAAGTAAAAGTGTGGCAGTTCCGCTGTCCTCAAAGCCTAGAGTTACTAGTTTGATGGGCCGAAACCCAAAAGACCAAAGGAGACACATCCTCTCAACATTCGCACGGCATTCTGGGTGTCATATTCCAGAGCCGCTTGCTCCAGAACCCACACTACCCTATGTCATGGAGATGTTAAGGGCTCTGGGAATGGTAGCTTCAGGTCACAGCTGACTCACTCTGCGGAGCATTTTAAGCTCCAGAGATGCTGTGTGGTGACTACTGGTGACACAGCCTGGAATGCAGGAGGTGGCTGTGTGGGGACATGAAAGCAGCACCAGACACAGCAGGTAGAAGTGGAACTGTGGTGTCAGGGAGAGAGTTCTCTTGCCTTTTAATTCAATGATACTGACCACAACTCAGCATGACATCCTAAGCTCTCCTCACCCTGAATGGAGACCCATGCCCAGTAACCAGGAACTCCCCATTTCTTCCTCTCCCCAGCCTCAGGCAACCACTAATTTACTTCCTGTCACTATGAATTTATAAATTCTGGACATTTCATATAAATGCAATCATAAAATATGTGGACGAGCCATTGTTTCTTAGGATTATGCTTTCAAGGCTCATCCATGTTGTACCACGTATCAGTACTTCACTCCTTTTTGTGGCTGAATCGTACTCCACTGTATGGATAGACCACATTTTGTTCATCCATTCAGCAGCTGATGGACATTGTTGTTTCCACTTTGGCTATTGTGATAGCACGTCTTTGAACTTTTGTGTACAGTTTTTGTTTGGGTATGTAACTAGCAGTTGACTTGGTGGGCCATACGGCAGTCCTATGCTTAGCTTTTTGAGGAACTGTCAAACCGCCTTCCCCAAGGGCTTTCCCATTTCACATTCCCACCAGCAGGTTCTGATTTCTCCATGTCCTCATCAACACTTGCTATTTTCCAGTTTTGTTCTTGGTAGTAGCTAACCTAGTGGGTATGAAATGGTATCACACTGAGGTTTTGATCTGCTTTTCCTAATGATTAATGATGTTGAGCATCTCTTCATGTACATGTTGGCCATTTGCATCTTCTTTGGAAAAATGTCCTTTTCAAATTTTTTAATTGGATTGTCTTTTACTTGTTTTGTTGTAAGAGTTCTTGATATATTCTGGATATTAGACCCTTTATCAGCTATGTGATTTGTATATATTTTCTTCCATTCTGTGGCTGTACTTTCTTGATAGTGTTCATCCATGTACAAAATTTTTAACTTTGATGAAGTCCAATTTATCTGTTTTTTTTCTTTATTGTTTTATTTTTGGTGTCATATTTAAGAAAATATGGCTAAATCCAAGGTTATAGAGGTTTACCCATTTTCTTTGAAGAGTTTTATAGTTTTAGTTTTTATACTTAATCCAATAGTTTGAGAACTTTAGGTAAAATTTATTTCCTTATGGATATTTGATGTTTTAGTTAAAACAGAAACATTATCTTAGTATAGATTATTCCATTTTAGTCTCCTTATTAAAAGATCAATAACAAAATGTGTAAGGCACAGCCATTGTTGCTAATGGTGCATGAACACAATATACATGTCTAGCCTTATAAATCAAGAAAAACTATGTTAAATATCATGACAGAATTAGCAATAATACTTCATTACCCTCTCCTACTCTCACCCTTTCTTCTGTTCTTCTAAAGGTTACAGTTTGGTGACATACATCTAATGAGTCCCCACTTCACCCCCAAGACTTATTCCAGGACTTCTCTGGAAATGTCACTATTCTGACACTCTGATCACACTGACTCAGAGAGCTCTTTTTGGAACCTGCCCCAAACCTGCTTCCTTTCCAAGGCAGCCTGAGGAAACCATCACAAATGCTGCTGGTAAATTCTTACTCAGGCAAGGCTTGATGGCCCTTAGAAACGATATTTGGAATTTAGTGGTGGGAATGAAGGTCTCAATTAAAAAATGTTTCTTCAAACCCATAATCATTTCTCTTACTCTACTTCCAAGTCTCAATCCTTTCCTACCATGTAACATACGGGTAGAGCAAATGCTAAATTCTCACTGTACTATTCTCCACCCTAAAACAATTAATCAAGGAAAACTTGATTTCATGTTCTCCTGGTGGACTCACCCAGACACACAGTACACTGAAAAGACTCATCAAATTAAACTCTGGGTTTGATTGCTTAAAGCTAAGCTTCTTCTGAAAGTAGATTTATATACATGACAGATTGCTCTTATAAGTAGCTCTCCCTATAGTCCTATATGTTTCCATGACCCTACTCTGAAAAGGGAGGGAAATGCAGTATAGATGTCCCAGAGATAGGGTATGTAGGATTAATACATTGTGTCATCTCAGTGAGCTCTGATGGTCTAGAATGACATCAGGTCTTCTGTACTAAGAGGGCCCCTTGCAAAGTTGAGGAAGTGAGACCAGACCCAAGGACTTCTAAGAACAGTCTCAGGCCATCCTGGTCTTACATTCCCGTGTGGAAAGTCCTCAGCAGGGGAAACGCTTGGGCCTTCTCTGAAGCATTTCTGACTCCTGGGACACCTGGTGTTACAACAGGGGGAACCTAAGACGGGTAGTGCATTGGGTTTGAATCTCTAGGACCCTGTCTGGAATGGAATGAATGCATGAGGCCTATGGTATTAAGGAAAGTTTGAATTAAAAGGAAACCTAGAACTCATTTTAGGCCACGCAGTGACTATAGCAGATGGGGAAACTGTGGCCCAGAGAAGTGGAGGACTTTGTTTAAAATCATTCCGGTGGCAAGGGGCAGGCAAGGTAGAACCCACACACGTTTCTTCAACACCAGTTCAACCCTTAGAACTGCCTCAACTTGAGGTCACTGTCATGTTTAAAGTATGAAACTAAAAGGACCTGGACAGTGTTGGGGTAAATTTCCTCCTTCCTTTCCATGCTGCAAATTCTCCAACACTCGGTCACTCTGTCTCTTCCTCACTAACTTCTGACATCACATGCATAGGCCAAAGCAGGAAGTGACAGGAGAGGAAGTAGAGAGAAACGGTTAAAACTACTATCCCTTCTCTGACATTAACAAATGAGACAGGACTTGTGTGCCCTGAAACTGGCGGACAGAATTCCGCCTCTTCTCTCCCAAATACACAAAAGGGGGTTGGTGTGGAGGGCGGCGTTGGCAGGGCGTAGGGGTGAGGGGAGACCAGAGGGCCTTTCACCTACTTGAGATCTTTCTCAAATCTGGTTTCAGTTGCAGTTGTGTACTCTGATTATAATTACATTTAAAAACTTGCAGTGTTTATAAACAAGATTCAAGCATGCATGTAATTTCCATCTCCAAATCTGAGTTTGTTTTTTTCACAGTGAAGTTACTGCTTTCCTTGGAAAGGTACCCACTGAGGAGGAGGGCTGCACAATGCAAACTTTAATTACTCCGGAGTTTTCGAGGGTTTGTAGCTGTTGCTTCCTGCTGAGTTGCTGAGCTGTTGTTCTTATTTACTCCGATTTTGATGAACCCACTCCATTTCGCTATCATTACATTTTGAAATCTGTCATAACAGTCTCACCTCATTGAATCTCCAAGTAAACTTCAATTAAAAGCGAGCAACCCCAGCTGATTCTCCTCCACAGCCTTGTTTGTCACGTCCCTTTCTCACGGAACTGCTTTCCCCAAATCCTACCACTTAAGAGTGCACTCCACACACCCTGCCAGGGAAATGCAAGGAGCGAAGTACAGCAGGTCCTCTAATAATGTTGTTTCACCCGTCAATTTGTTACACTATCGATGAGATGCCATAGAAACTTAACTCTTGTTTACATCAATTAGTCTACGGTAAAATTCCACTATACATCAGCTCCTCTTAAAGTCACAAAACCTACTGACCACTAAGTGGGGACTTACTGTATAGCTCAAGAAACAGCCAGGAGCATTCTGTCAGTGAGAGCAGAAGTCCCTCATTACCATGCCAAGCACAGAGCCCTGGAAGAAGCAAGCAAGGCTTAAGGAGAAAATACTTGATCAAATCAGTGGGAAATGGCATTTCACTGCAGAGGCGATGAAGCCTATTTTAAAAAATAGCTTAACTCTTCATCGGACACATTTAACGCAGAACTTTCATTCTAAAATACTACTACTTTAAAGTCACAGTGCCTTTGTCTGCAAGCTCTCAAAAGGCCCTCAAGCATTTAGAAATTATTTTATCATATGCACACTCTTAAATACTTCACCAGAAGTATTTTAAAATAAATCTTACTATTCTGGATTTACAGAACACCTCAGATACAAAGAAATTAAGTGTGCCATCAATGCTCCCAAAACAGTGGGTGAGGGTCTGAACTCAAATTCGGGGATCATCGTAATGCTGTATGAAGGCCGTCCAATCAATGACTGTGCCCCCAGCCTCACCTGAAGCTAGGGTTACCTGTGGACGAGAAGGCAGTCAGCCAGTTCTCTTCCAAATTCCGCCTGTCTTACACCAACCTAACACCTCCCCTTCCAAGGCCTACATTCTGTTCCCTATCACCCAAGCCACAAGCCCGGCTTCATGCCTCATCAGTCTCCTCCTTATCTCCTGAATCTTGCTTTACCCGCCAT